TGTACAATTTACCATCTGATTAGCTGTCTCTTTCACATAGATTTACCTAGGTTTGTGAAACTGTCTTATTTCCTACAATCGAAGTTCAATCTAAAATGTTAAAATCTCTTAAATCAGGCCTGAAGCGACAGCACTACTTCCAGAATCGTTTTCAACAATTCCCGAATTGTATGCAAAAAGATTCAAACAAACAATAGTATTTACTAACTTTCATCTCCTTATGAATACAGTAGAATTAAAATTCAAATCAGGATTTTTCTGAATGACAGCCTAAGCCTGCAGAGCACACAGCTCTGCAGAAACCACTACTATGTGACTAACTATAGCAACTATATTTAACTTCAAATAGATAACTCAGGAACACCTATTTTGAAGATAATGCTTTCTCATTTTAACCAATCATTCCTGCAGTGAAAGCTGTTTGGTATGCCTTTCTTCTTTTGCTGGCAGACAATCAAGCTGAATTTCCAATTGGACTTCATGTACTCATCTTTGTTCAAATTAATCACTTTTTCTATCCCCTGAAAATAGTTTTTGTTGCCTTCTTTGCCCTTGATTTGTTTCTTCCTCCTTCCATATACTAAGAAAATATGTAATTATTGAAATGACCAAATCCTCCAGAAAATTCAGTGCTCTGTCATATTTGTCCTCCCCTTTGTTACCTGGACTTTAGATGTGAACAATTATATATCTTTCGAGTTTAGACGAAGACATTTTAGTCAATTGTCTTAAACATTTCTCAAAAATGGGGTCACACCAGAAATAAAACCCAGAAGGTTTTTCTTGTATATATTAGAGGTTGGCGAACATCTGCGTATGAATAATCTAATTCATATTAATGATAACATGATAAACATGAGGAGACCCGGGCCTATCAATACAAATGGTAGCCTCTTAAAGGTGTTTTAAATGTCAAATAGTAAACAGCTTCTGCTGTTCATTTGTCCTCCCCCACACACACACACAGCAACACAGGTATTGCTTCTTATGGCAAACTGGCAACAAGCTTTATTTGTACTTGAAAAGCGAGAACAGGACCCTGAAGATACTTAAGAATCCATGCTTGTGCACATTCTGCTCTCAGGGAGCCATTAAGTGCCACACGCTTCGGTTCCAGATTAAGGCCGCGATCCTGTGCCACTTACCTGGGACTTAAGCACCAAGCAGACTACCAGTAGGGCTTGCCCCTGAGACAATGTTTTCTGGAGTGGATTGCATGACTCCTAGCTCCCTACTCACAGATGGAGAAATCAATCCTTGCTGAGGAGAGTTAAGACTTGATAGGTCTCAGCCCCCTGGCAACTCAGCATGAAGAACAAGACTGCACATTCACCGCGGCAAATGTCACAGAGAGCTGCACCAAAGGCGCCACAAGCTCAGAATAACTTTGCCTCGTCTTTCAGTGTTTCTACAAAGCATCCCTCAAGGTCCTCACTCCCTATGACCTTTATTTAAGCGCCAGTCTCTGCCAGGTGACAGGTTCCTTATCTAAAACGCCGCTTCTGCTATTCATAGAAAAGGCTTCTTTCTCCTTTTGGGTAGACACACATTTATGACACGCTGCCTGACAGCTTCCTCACATCGGTGACACTATAATATGTTACAGCGAGAAAGCTTCGGTCATCCACTTTGTCTAAATGAGCCCTGCCATCGGACCCATGTGCACAACGCGTGCATCGCATATCTCATTTTCGACAGTACTCTATGCAAACATCTCCTCGAATCATCCAAGAGCCACCACACTTTCCCACATGCAGTCATTTTCTCTCACAAACACACCAAGCAAACTCTCCCAAGACTTTGGTCCATAGTCATGTTACTCTCCAGCCTGCAAAACTGCTGAAATCTTTAGGAGGGCCCGTCCATGCAGCCATATAACCTCAAATATCAAGGCAGATCATCGACAATATCTGCTTTGAACTGGATTATCTGAGTCCAGACTGTCATATAATCCAATTTAATGTGGATTTTATGCAGCTGTGTGGAAGGGGCAAAAGACATGGATGGGGCTGAGCTTCCCATTCTCCAACTTTTCCTCATTTTCTGGGAGGAAAAGAGGGCAAAGTCTGATGTATCAGCTTCCCAGGCAAATCCTCATCTATTCCCTATAGAGAAGTCTCTGAGCATATTGAGCCTGCAGAAGAGAAGGTTGAGAGGAGACAAGAGTACATTTGAAAGGCTGTCATAAGGAAGAGGGAACAGGCTTGTTTCCTGCTGCCCTGGGGAATAGGGGCCCTTCCACACAGCCCTATATCCCCACATGATCTGCTTTGAACTGAGTTGTCTGAGTTTCCACTCAGATATTGTGGAATTTTCTGCCTTGATATTCTAGGATATAGGGCTGTGTGGAAGGACTCTAGGCCCCTTCCATACTGCTGTATAAAATCCCACATTATCTGCTTTGAACTGGAATATATGGCAGTGTGGACTCAGATAACCCAGTTCAAAGCAGATATTGTGGGATTTTCTGCCTTGATATCCTGGGTTATATGACTGTGTGGAAGGGCTGTAGGGCTCTTTCTACTCAACTGAACAAAATCCAGATTATCTGTTTTGAACTGGATCACGCGTCAGTGTAGACTCAGATAATCCAGTTCAAAGCAGATAACGTGGATTATCTGCCTTAATATTCTGAATTATGTGGCAGTGTTGAAGCACTCTAGCACCCAGAGCAATGGATTAAAATGACAGGAAATGGGATTCCACCTGAACATTAGGAAGAGCTTCCTGACCCTAACAGTTAAACTCTTTGCTTAGGAATGTGGAGGAAGCTCCTTCCTTGGAGGCTTTTAAACAGAGGCTGGGGCCCCTTTCGCACAGCTGAATAAAATCCCACATTATCTGCTTTAAACTGGAATATATGGCAGTGTGGACTCTGGCAAGGCAACCCAGTTCAAAGCATATATTGTGGGATTTTCTGCCTTGATATTCTGAGTTATATGGATGTGTGGAAGGGCCCTGGATGGCCATCTGTCTGGGGTGCTTTGATTGTGCTTTTCCTGCATCTTCCAACTCTATGAAAAGAAAGTCCTCCCCCAATAACCCCTTTAGGTTTCACACAAACAACCGCAACCACACAGAGGGCCCTTCCACACAGCCCTATATCCCCACATGATCTCCTTTGAACTGGGTTGTCTGAGTCCCCACTCAGATACTGTGGAATTTCCTGCCTTGATATTCTGGGTTATATGGCTGGTGGAAGGGTTCTAGAGCCCCTTCCACACAGCTCAATAAAATCCCACATTATCTGCTTTGAACTGGAATATATGGTAGTGTGGACTCAGATAATTGTGAGATTTTCTGCCTCGATATTCTGGGTTATATGGCTGTATGGAATGGCCCTGGAGGGCCATCTGTCTGGGATATGGAGCCCCCAGTGGCTCAGTGGGTTAAATCCCTGTGCCGGCAGGACTGAAGACTGACAGGTCGCAGGTTCAAATCTGGGGAGAGGCACATGAGCTCCCTCTATCAGCTCCAGCTCCTCATGCAGGGACATGAGAGAAGCCTCCCACAAGGATGATAAAAACATCAAATCATCTGGGCGTCCCCTGGGCAACGTCCTTGCAGACGGCCAATTCTCTCAAACCAGAAGCGACTTGCAGTTTCTCAAAGGCCTGTTTCGACAGGTCTTTGATTTTTGATATTGCTGTTTTTAAATTGTTTTAAATTGTTTTTAAATTGTGTTAGATTTTAGCCGTTCTTGTAAGCCGCTCCGAGCCCCAGGGGAGTGGCGACATATAAGTTGGAATAATAAATAAATAAATAAATAAATAAGTCGCTCCTGACACTACCAAAAAAATCTGTCTAGGGTGCTTTGATTGTGCTTTTCATGCATGCCAGAACTGGATGGACTAGATGGCCTCTTCCAACTCTATAAAAAAAGGGGGGGTGTGAAAAGTCCTCCCGCAAGAACCCCTTTTTCTGCCAACCTAACAGTTCAAAAACATGCAAATGTGAGTAGATCAATAGGTACTGCTCTGGTGGGAAGGTAACGGTGCTCCATGCAGTCATGTTGGCCATGTGACCTTGCAGGTGTCTACGGACAACGCTGGCTCTTCGGCTTAGAAATGGAGATGAGCACCAACCCCCAGAGTTGGACACGACTGGACTTAATGCCAGGGGAAAACTGGGTTGTTGTAGGTTTTTTCGGACTATATGGCCATGTTCTAGAGAAGCATTCTCTCCTGACGTTTCACCTGCATCTATGGCAAGCATCCTGAGAGTTAGTGAGGTCTGTTGGAACTAGGAAAGTGGGTTTATATATCTGTGGAATGACCAGGGTGGGACAAAGGACTCTTGTCTGCTGGACCTAGGTGTGAATGTTTCAACTGACCACCTTGATTAGCATTCGATGGCCTGGCAGTTGTTTGGTGGAGCCCTCGGTGGCGCAGTGGGTCTGTCGGAACTAGGAAAGTGGGTTTATTTATTTATGTATTTACTTACATTATTTCTATCCTGCCCATTTCAGCCCGAAGGCGACTCAGGGCGGTATATATATGTGGCATGACCAGGGTGGGACAAAGAACTCTTGTCTGTTGGAGCTAGGTATGAATGTTTCAACTGACTACCTTGATTAGCATTCGATGGCCTGGCAGTTGTTTGGTGGAGCCCCCGGTGGCCCAGTGGGTCTGTTGGAACTAGGAAAGTGGGTTTATTTATTTATTTATATTATTTCTATCCTGCCCATTTCAGCCCAAAGGTGACTCAGGGCGGTATATATCTGTGGAATGACCAGGGTAGGACAAAGAACTCTTGTCTGTTGGGGAAAACATTTAAGAACCCCTTTGGGCTTCACACACACAACCACAGGGAGGGCCCTTCCAAACAGCCCTATAACCCAGAATGTCAAGGCAGAGAACCCACAACTGAGCCCACAGAGCCGTATAACCCAGTGCAATGTGGGTCTGATGCAGATGTGTGGAAGGAAGGAAGGAAGGAAGGAAGAAGAAAGGAAGGAAGGAAAGCAGGGAAGAGAGAGGGTCGCGCGGCGCCGGCCTCACCGGAGGTGAGCTGCATCCAGGCGCAGATCTTGTAGACGGTGGCGGTGTTGCAGAAGAAGAAGAGGATGAAGCAGACGATGCAGGCGATGACGAGCACCATGGAGAGGCCGATGAAGAAGGAGGCGGCTTTGAAGGCGCCCGAGGGCAGGCTGGAGAAGTCCGTGAAGCTGCCCTGGCAGGTGAGCTCCCGCGAGAAGGAGCTGCCGGTGCAGAAGTGGAAGAGCCCGAAGTAGCCCTCCTGCGGGGTCTCCACGCCGTCGCCGATCCAGTAGGGCTGGAAGAAGCACACCACGTTGACGATGGCGAAGCAGATGGTGAAGATGGCCCACAACACCCCGATCGCCCGCGAGTTGCGCACGTAGTTGCTCTGGTAGAGCTTGGCCGCCTCCTGCGCCGGGAGGAGCAGCGCCTCGGGGGCCGGGGGCGAGGCCGGGAGCGGCGCGGACGAGGGGGGCGAGGCCGCGAGCAGCGAGGGCGCCGTGGAAGTCAGCGCCGTGGCCAGGCCCCCCGCCCCGACAGGGCTGCCCGGGGGCGCCACCGCCGACACCGCGCCCGGCATCCTCCGCCAACGCCAACGCCGCCCAGCCTCACAGGCGCGGGACTCGGGGAGGAGGAGGAGGAGGAAGCGGAGGCGGCATCTCCTCAGCCCTCCCCGCTTCCCCCGCTCCTCAAAAGGCGGGCTGAGGGACGGCGCGAGGCGCACCAGAGAGAGACGCAGGAGGAGGAGGATGGAGAAGAAGGTGCCTCGCGCTCCCAGCGGCTGCCGCGCTGCCTCTGGACTGACTGACTGACTGACTGAGAAGAGGGAGGCAAGGAGGGATTCTGGGAAAGCAAAGCCCTCGCGCCTCCTTTCTCGCGCCTCCTTTCTCACCCCCCTCCCCCGCTTGGTCCCGCGGCACGTGCGGGGGAGGAGCCCCAGAGCGAAAGGCAAAAGAGTGCGCGCGTGCCCCCCCCCCACTCTCCCCCTTCCCAATCAAAAATGGGCGGGAGAGTCAACAGGTGCGGCAGTGCCTTCTTTTTCCCATCATTGGATGCGGGACACTTGTTGATTTCGCCTCAGCCGCGCAACTGTTAGGGGGGGCTCTTCACTTCAAAGCACCACACTCCCTCCCCCAGGGCCCAGGTTCTTGTCCCAAGGACAGTGTGAGGTAGCTAGCAGCCTTCCAGATGTTATAGGATGGAAATGCAGACAATCCCAGATCTTTTTTTTTTTGTCGTGTCAGGAGTGACCTGGTGTGAGAGAATTGGCCGTCTGCAAGGACGTTGCCCAGGGGACGCCCGGATGATTTTGATGTTTTTATCATCCTTGTGGGAGGCTTCTCTCATGTCCCCGCATGAGGAGCTGGAGCTGATAGAGGGAGCTCATCCGCCTCTCCCCAGATTCGAACCTGCGACCTGTCGGTCTTCAGTCCTGCCGGCACAGGGGTTTAACCCACTGCGCCACCGGGGGCTCCAGAGATAATAATAAGAATAGGTAAAGGTTGTCCCCTGACATTAAGTCCAGGCATGTCTGACTCTGGGGTGTGGTGCAGGCGTATAGCAGGGTTAAGAGGACAATAGCTTTATAAACAAGCACCTTGGTATCCCTATGGATGTCCTGGTCCTCAAACTCTCTCTGCTTCATTCGGAAAAATGCTGCACTCGCAGAGCTCAGGCGGTGTTGTATTTCAGTGTCAATTACATGTATAAGTATGTGAGAGGAAGTCATAGGGAGGAGAGAGCAAGCTTGTTTTCTGCTGCCCTGGAGAGTAGGATGTGGAACAATGGCTTCAAACTACAAGAAAGGAGATTCCCCCTGAACATTAGGAAAAACTTCTGACTGTGAGAGCCATTCAGCAGTGGAACTCTCTGCCCTGGAGTGTGGTAGAAGCTCCTCCTTTGGAGGTTTTTAAACAGCGGCTGGATGGCCATCTGTCGGGAGTGCTTTGAACACAATTTTCCTGCTTCTTGGCAGGGGGTTGGACTGGATGGCCCATGAGGTCTCTTCCAACTCTATGATTTTACCCTGACAACACTTGGGCTCTCATCAGATGGACACCCCGGCTTTGTCACCTTACAGTTGGGGCTGCCATTTCACAACCAAGCCCATAGCCAAAGGGCTGGTATAAGGGTTTAAACCACCCCTGAAAAATTTCAGGTTAAAAAAAACCCCTGGTTTACTCATGAATTTTAACTTGTTAACCAACCCCGCTCCCCACCAAGTATATGAGAAGCAAACATTTTGAGTCCCCCCCAGAACTACAAATACTAGCTCAACTAAATTTTAATTGTTCACACAATCATTACCAATGTTCTACCAATTTACATTGCAATAGCAGCAGTATCTAACATAGTGGAAGTGACCATAGTGGAAACCCTGCCAAAGAAACAAGGGATCAAAGAGAAGAAGCTGTGTCATTGGATTTTATATGAAAACAACCAAGTGAAAGCTTAATTAGTGCAAAAAACACAGACTCCATTGCCGAGTGTCACGATCCAGGCCTCTGCCGGTATGCAGGCAGATATTCGCCAAGACAAACCCCCAGCTTGTGTCAAAACTATCTATCTTAAAACAGCACTTACTCATGTGGCTGTTTCACAGTCTAAGTTCAAAACATAAAAATAGCACACAGCTCAGGTACAAAGTTAAGATTTAGAACAAGGAGCATACTACAAATGCCATTCAGGAGAAAGAACACACTGTAGTCAAGGTTGCAGCTCAAGAGACCAAATCATAGTCATCGTTCCAAAGCTCAAGCCAGAGTCCAAAGTTCAAGGGTGATCCAAAATACATAGTCAAGAGTCAGTCCAGAGATTCAAGGTACATCAGCAAGATGCTCACCAGAATTCAAGGTTCTTCAGAGTACAAGAGTTCACTAGACAGGTCAGGATGCCAACAGTTCAAACAACCTGGGCGGGGGGGACGGGGATGGGGACCACTAGCATCCAAAGCCAAGTCCAATCCAATCCAATAGGCCTTTATGGGCATATATAACAAGACAGCATAAAATACAGGATAAATTATAGAAAAGGAAACTTCACATTTGCTATTTATCAGCAGATCATTCATCTCACAGAAGCCAACAAATCTATGCAGGAATCTTTTTAAACAGACATCGGAGAGAGATAGTAGGACCACATCATCTGCAAATAGCAAAAGGGAACATGGTTTGGGCCAATCTTGGGGCTATTCCCCTCCACTTGGGCCAGGGCTATAGGGAGATCATACAAGAGATCATGTTAAATAGAAGTGGGGCTAGTTCGCACCCTTGTTTGACTCCCTTTTTGCCGTGGATCGGGTTCAATAATAGGCCTATTGGATTGGATTGAATTGGAATCTCGAAGTCCTGCAGCATGGCACTCTTGGTAACTTTGCTCATCCCCTTTCTTTGGATGCCTAATCTATATTTGTTAAATATTTAATTTAAGTTTTTTGTTACTGCAATGCTAAAAATATGGGGGATTGTAAGACTTTCTAATTGGGAACAGCATTCTTTGTGGGGAATGCCCTCAAACCACAGCCTCCACCCCACAGAACTCTTGCCTGAGGCAACCATGTCTCAAAAGGTTGAAAGTCAGATTGAAATGGCTCCAGATTATTAACTGGAGCCATTTTCTCTCCCCTTACACTATATCAGCTCACAAAAGAAAAAACTAAGTGCACTTGTTTTCCATCAAGCAAACACATTTATAACACAAGAAGTGAGCACGTCAAGGGTGAGAACATTTCTGATAGGATTTAAAAATATAACTTTTCCAGAAGAAAATTGTTCTCATGTCTCTCTACATGTGTACTGCCCTATGGCAACTTCTCCTTCTCATAGTAGGTATAATCTCCTAGGTTGCTTACCAAAGCTTGGAAAAATAACTTGTTAGGACTAAAATTCGCAGACTTGTCAAGTCAGCATGTGAAGGGGATTTTTAAAACTCTTTAAACGTTCATGAATTGTGTCCTATAGTAAGTTGAGCTCAGCAGTTTATTTAACAACACAATGCTGAGTGATAGCCCAGGGTTCCACGGCAAACAAGCAGTTAAATTAACTTTATATTGAATTCTTATAAATAGATACAGTAGCAGCAATTAAGCAACAAAAGGCTATGCCATATGTACAAATTTACCAACTCTATTTCCAAACTATGCAAGTCTCACTTGTTTGTTTTGTTTTATTTTGGAATTCTAGATGTTGTCCTATCAACAGAACAATTTTTTTTCAAGATGTCATGGGGCCCTTCTATCCTGTCCTTATATCCCTGGATCTTATCCCAGATTATATGGCAGTGGTGACTCATATAATCTAGCTCAAAGCAGATAACCTGGGATTGGATCCTGGGATATAAGGACGGTATAGAAGGGGCCATGGTGTTTTGGGAAAGTATTTTGAACATTTTAAACTTTACTCGAAATCCCGACCAATTTACAGCAATTTCTGTTTCTTTTTTTTTCAATTAGTTTTTTTATTAACCACAAAAGAAATGCTATATACATAAAAAGAGGTGGAACAATATAGTAAAAGAAAAGTAGGAAATAAAGATGTATAAATCTTAACAAAAACTACTTCATTCTTTTAAGACAGATTCTTTACAGCGATTCAACTTGTTCTCCTCTTTTTTTTCTAAACATCTAATAATTTTATTACCTTTATATTCCCTTCATTACATAAACGATCTCTATAATTCACATAATTACTTTTTTCCCTTTCCCCACTTGTGCTACCCCTTGTGCTCCCCATCTCCGGAGTTCTTCTTTTCTTTATACTCCCACTAGAACCTCATTTCTTCTGGTGGGGGTTGGTTCCCATCTTCTTTCCTTAATGTTTCCTCAATAAATATTTTCCATATATTTTCAAAATCATTATCCTTCCTTAGGCCTTTTTTAACCTTTAAATTGCATGTTAATTTGTCATTCATTGCTAATTTCCAAATTTCCTTGTACCATTCTTCTATCTTAATTTCCACCTCTCCTTTCCAATATTTTGCTATTAGTAGCCTTGCAGCCGTTAACAACATTGTTCTCAGATTCTTTTCATTTTCCTTCCATTCATCTGTATTGTAAATAGATAACAGTATAGTCGCTGGATTTCTATTAATTTTTTTCTTCATAATACTTACTATTTCTACTATAACTTTTCCCCAGAAACTCTGTGCATATTTGCATTGCCACCACATGTGGATATACGTACCCCTTTCTTGGCAACCCCTCCAACATTTTTCTGAACAACTCTTATCCATATTATGGATCTTTGTCGGGGTTAGGTACCATTTCCATACCATCTTATACTAGTTTTATTTTATCATAATTGATAAATTCTTGAGGTGTCTTGCTCTCCATAATTTTTCCCAATTCCTTTCTCCTATTTTTATTCCCGGTTCTTCTTCCCATAGTTCCCTTGTTTGTATCCCTTTTCTCTCCCCTTTAATCTCTATTAATATTTTGTATATAATACTTGTTGTCTAATTTCTGTTTCTAAGCAGCCTGTTCTCTTTAGCTTTGCTCTACCTCATTTAGGCCTTGTGGTCACTTTTTGGCATTCTCCTTTTTATTGTATGAGTTCGTATGTCATTGCCTATTGATAGTTAATTTCTGTCACCTCGGACTAAATAATCTATGTAAAGATTATTTAGTTTCTTGTCCTTGATGGACCCTAGTCCATCAAGCGAAATTCCAGACAGGAACACAGGTTATTTAAACTGCTGGCTTCAATCTATGATTAGGCTCATTTATTTATTTATTTATTTTCTATCCCATTTTTCTCCCGTGATGGGACTCAAAGCGGCGTAGAGCATGTAAAATCAAGTCAATTACAAACAACAAATACGAACATGAACCTTGATGAATGAGAAATGAACAATTTAATTCCCAAAGGTTTAGAAGGTTAACA